GCTTCTTTCCTGGACTCCTCTCCTTTGCCATTCATCTCTTTTCCTTGGGATCAGTGCCCGTGTTCAGCTCGCCGTTTCTTCACAGCGGCTCCAGAGGTGCCCAGTTTCCCCGCTATGTACCTGGAGGGTGGAGAAAGGCACCAGCGAGGGACCCCTTCTGGGCAAAAGACTGGAGGTTGCCCTGGTCCTCCCTTAGCCCCATTTGAGTGAGACTGAGGGTCACGGGGGAGATGCTGCTGGGGGGAAAGGAGGTGACTTACCGTAGGTTTCTCCTCGAGGCGCCCCTTTGAAGGGTCGGTTCTCTTCTCATTGAGCACGGATGGAATGATTCTCTCAAACCCTAGCAGGGGCTGGTGGCTGTCCTCATCCCGGGACTGAGCCTCAAGAGAAACATGATTCTCTCCTGTCTCCTTAGTTTGAGACCGTTGCCCTGGAGCGAGTGAAGCGGGGGACCTGAGGAAAATGAGAACTGAGCTTTTTAGTGTAGTCTTGCACATGTCGAAACTTCTCTTGTGTCTGCTTTATGTATTTCATCAGGCCGAGTGAAAGAACAATTTCGGCTTATATGTTGTCTAAGATGTAAGTCATCTCAGGCAGCAGTTAGGTTTTGGTATACCCACGTGCTTTTTGCACCCGGTTCTGTATTATAGAGTTAGGATCATACAGTCGTTTTTGATCTCAGTTTTTGCTTCTACCACCCCCAGCCCCATGCCCACTTCATTAATGTGTAGTTTTAACTCCTCAAACAAACGCATTTTATGTTTGGAAGTAATTTTGGAAGTTCATTGCAGGAATGAGTAAATTGAGGCCAAGGAGAGCTTTATTGAGTACCTGCTATATGAAAAGCATAATGCTAGGTCCTTTGGGAGACGGAAAGATGCATCGAACATGTAAACACTTTTTTTTCAGTTTCATTTTAGATTTCGCCTCCCAAAGAGGCTTTCTCAGAACACATAATCTGGAGTTGGTCCTCTCCACCATTATTCACTATCTCAGTATTTTCATCGTCATCATAGTTATTCTGTTAATTTTGCCCCTTTCATGACAGATTATAAATTGCAAGTCTGTCTTGTTCATAGTTGAATCTCAGGGTTTAGCACAGAGCCTGGCAAGCAATAGGCCTTCAATTCACATTTACTGAAAGAATAATTAGATATATGCAAAAGTAATATATTACTTGATCTTGTTTTAACTGAGTCTTAAGGTTTTTTGAGTACAGGTACATACTGTATAACAAATTATGGATGTTCAGAGTCAGAAGTAATTCTCCTGCCTGGGTGCTCTCTTGCTAAAATGTCTTTCTCTTGCGCCCCCCCTCCCCGCCCAAAACGGCATTTAAAAAATCAGCCAAAGGAATGGGGAATTACTGTTTAATGGGTATAGAGTTTCAGTTTGGGAAGGTAAAAACGTTCTGGAGATGGATATACTGATAGTTGCACAACGTTAATGTACTTAATGCCACTGAACTGTACACTTTGAAATCGTTAAAATGGTGAATTTTATGTTATGTGTATTTTAAAAACTCAGCCATTGTTATTAAAATTTTTAGTTCATTAAGTTTTAGAACTGTGTTCCTTGAGTTTGATTTTTCCCTGTCTTCTCTCAATTTCTTTTCCAGGAAAAGTTCTTTGGCCAGGAAGAGTATTGGAAACATATTATTCCTTTGGTCTTCTAGCCATCTCCGTGGTCATGTTATTTGCACTCTTGGTTTTTAAGATTTCATTTTCATCTCTTACAGTTTCATCCTTCCACCTAATGTTTTCTTTTAAATCTGACAAAATCAAGATGAGCACTTTGAACTTAAATTCAGCTTCTAAATAAGTATGTCATCCTAAAGTATTCCACTGCTTAGCTCTCTCACTTCTATTTTTAGTGTTACACTTGTCTCTGTCTTTAAAATTTAATTCAAATAATGGTGATTTGAAAATAAGTTTAGTAATTTGCTCTTTTGTGTTTTTCATGCTAAATTTGCTGGAACTTCCTTGAAAGGAGAAAATTGAAATCCAACTAAAGCCATTTAAGAAATTTATGAGAATAAGACTCACAGCATAGTTTGAGTTGTGTCCCAGACTGTGGTATCATAAGGTCACCCATGTTGGTTATTGGTTCCTACCCTCCCAATAAGTTTATTTTTGTTATGGTTGAGCTTCCCATCAGTAGCATTCCTTGGGAATTTGAAAACTGGCATTTTGTTTTACACACAGCTTTTCTTTGTTACCATTCTTGGATGTTTTGTTAAGGCAATATTAGAGTTGAGTTCTTTACCATTTAAAATGCCATTGGAAATTCCCTAGGAATACTTGGTAAAATAAATTCAGTTTAGAAAAAAGCGCATGTTGAAAAATTTTATACATATGTACATTTTCTGGGGAGTGAGTCCACAGCTTTTTTTTCAGATTTCCAAAGATGTGGCTTTCCTAGAAAATGTTAAAAACCACTGTTTATAACACTGAATGAACTAATTTATCCACCTAGTTAGCAGACTGAGCACACAGTAAATACTCAACAATTGTTAGTTTGAGCACCTACTGTGTGCAGGGGAAGAGTGGGGGGGAACGATGTCAAAGAATTAAGCAGGAGCTAGATCATGTAGGATTTTATAGGGTAGGGTAGATATAAATTCACAAATTTAGCTGGGAAGAAACCCTTTAAGCTGGAGAATGACATGAACTCTTTGACATTTTCAAAAAATCAAGTTCTGGCTACTTCATGAAGAATAGATTTGGGGGCAGGAAGGGGGAAGGGTAAGAATGGGAGCAGGGAGATCTTTCAAGAGGCTAGTTCAGGAGAAAAGTGATGGTTTTTTAGATTAATTTGGTTTTAGGGTATATTTTGGAGATAGAAACTATTGGATTTACTGATGGGCTTGTTATAGAAGGGTAAAGGAAAAGGAGGCATGAAGGATGACATCTGGGTTTTTTTCTTTCTATTTTAATTTTTTTTTTAACATCTGGGTTTTTGATTTGAGAATTAGGGTTTGTGGTGGTGCTTATTCCTTGAGATAGGGACGATTAGGAGAATATGGTTTTGAACATATTAGGTTTAAGGGTTTTTTCACACATGTAAATGGAGAGAGATGTGAAGTAGCCACTTACACATATAACTCTGAAGTTTAAGAGAAAGTTTTGGGACTGGAA